CAAACAGATATCATCTGCTAAGCCTAATAATCTCTTACAGCATTGTTCACTGAAGAAACGAAAACAGCAGCCACACTGCTGAGTCAATATTTACGACTCAGTGGGATTTAGGTGCAACAGAGGTACAAATGTACCATGTGTAAGCAGTTTCGGGGCTCTGCTGTTGTGCCCCAGCCAGTCCTGAGCTGCAAGCAAACAGCCACCCTGCAGATGCCTAGTGCTCCACAGGGGATGATGGGGTTCCAAGTGTCATAGAGAGCCACGTGGTCTCAGGGGTCTTGTGAATGAGGGTAGCAGGAAATAACTTTGTTTTAGGAAACAGAATAACTCGTGTTCCAACTGTTCCGCTTGCAAGGCAGAAATATTTCTGAGCTGATGTAATAAAGTACATCTGAATGAGTTGCCCAAGCAGGTTTTTTTTTTTTAACTCTTTCCAAAGCCCTTATTAATTTGATAAAATGTAGTGGAAAGTCACCTTCAAAATTGCCTAATAGTGTTTCATCTTTTGGTTAAAACTGCAATTGCTAATATATCTTATGAATTTATGGTGTAATATAAACTTCTTCAATAGAATTACTGTGTAAAATTTTGTCACTGTGCATGTAAGCAACACAGCTTGTACAAGCAACTCAAAAGAATTCCACAGATTTGCTTGGGCGTGAAGATTGGCAGGACCTGGCACAAACTGTCTTTTTGCTAAAAGGACTGAAATAACAGCAAGGATTTGGGGGTTGTTTGGTGGTGGAGGTCTTATGGAAGAGGAAAGCCCAGATCCTCACAGAAACGTGTCTGTAAACCTTGTCTATAATATATTAAGAAGCTGAGACTTCAAAGTAAGGACAATCTTTTTTTCAAAGAGACTTTGAAAGACCAAAGACCTTTTGTAATGTCAAGATTAGTTGTTGAGAAAGCTAGATGTGTACAAAGACCATGCTGATTAAAGCTTGGTGATAGCACCAGAAATTCAGCTACGGTTCAGACTGAGTGTCACTAATTTTTGTGGAACTATACCGGTTTGCATAAAGCTGTTGCAACCTCACAGGTGAGGAACTGGGATCTAATTAAGGCTGGGATTTTTCTATTGAGGTAAAGAGGGAAAGGGCAGAGTATGAGCCAAGCAACAGAAAGGGGGTTATGGGGAGCTCTGTGTTGTTGCAGCTAATCCTAGACTGGAAGTTGACAGGAATTATTACTTTGGGGATTTGTCATCTCATTCAAACTGATGTTTTTAAGAAGAGAGTGAATTTCTGGGATGTAGGATCACTGCTCCAATTTCATGTCCAAAACCTCATATGCGTCAAACCTCTCTAGACCACAGGTAAAATCAAAAGTACTAATAAACCACTTTCCCCATTTCCTCTCTCTCCACTAAAATCCTGGCAAATCTCAATGCATGTTCGAGGCAGAAATATCAAATGTCTGCAAATATTTTTACTTACTGCTTGTGTTGCCCTGGCCTGCAGACAGGGTGGAGATGGTGGGCAGTGCTATTTACTAGCCCTGGCACTCTGCCTGTGAGAAAAGGAGTAGCAGCAGCTTTTGCTCATGTGACTTTTGCATTAATTCAGCATGACCAGAGCTTGCCCTTAGAGTAAATGTCAGGTTCCTTCTGGTAGCCACTCAGTGTCAGGACCACAGTCTTGACTGCTGTTCCAATAGTCTCAGAAGATCCAGGTTTAAAATAACAAATGCTGATTGATTATTTTATTTTATTTTATTTTATTTTATTTTATTTTATTTTATTTTATTTTATTATTTTATTTTTTCATTGGGTTTGATTCATTTTGATAGTGCCTAAATTATGATGTTTCCTTAAAAACAGTCTGAGACACTTTCTGGGGTTAGTAAAGGTGCCAACTTCAGGTATCAAGGTATAGCAGAACAATGAAATTAAATAAAGCAACACCAGAACTGTGGTTTTTGGTATTTCAACCTTTTAGAAATTGAAAGTGAATGCAATTCCTTTTTACGTGAATCCATTCTCATTTCTTTTCTTCACTGAGGTCTGAGTATCCACTAGCACCTTGGAAAGCGGTTTTTAAATGCTTGAGGAACTGTCATCTAACATTGAAAATTAAGTTTTCTGTTTCTTGGCCAATGGTATAAGTGGTGCCATTTTTTCTGGAAAAAAAAAATATATATATATATATATATATATAATTATTGTTATATCTATTATAATTATGCATATATATATATATATATATATATATATAATATTATATATATATATATATAATTTCCCATAGTACAAAGTATATTTATTAAAACCTTGTCTCAGGGAGATGATTACATTTGTAAATGCCCATGCTCTCTCCATGCCAAACAAAGTACATGATATTATGAGGGATAAAAAGTAGGGAAAATATCAAATCTGTGATCAAATAAAAGTTCTCCAGAAAATTCAGAGATTTTAAAGGCAATTAAAAATAAAATAAAATAAAATAAAATAAAATAAAATAAAATAAAATAAAATAAAATAAAATAATATAAAATAAAATAAAATAATATAAAATGTAGATTATTTTTGAAAACATACTGGGAAAAGAGAGAAAGAGAGAAAGAGAAGGAAGGAAGGAAGGAAGGAAGGAAGGAAGAGGAAGGAAGGAAGGAAGGAAGGAAGGAAGGAAGGAAGGAAGGAAGGAAGGAAGGAAGGAAGGAAGGAAGGAAGGAAGGAAGGAAGGAAGGAAGGAAGGAAGGAAGGAAGGAAGGAAGGAAGGAAGGATTAATTGTTCTAAAAAAAATGACATTTGATAATACCTGCTCATGACTATTCGGTATGTGGAGTAAGACAGTGTGCAATAAACCTCCTGACACATACAGGGACTGAACATAAGACCTTAACACCAGATGTTTACTCTGTGTGTCCATTCCTTCTTGATTGCACTACTTAGCAATACAGAAACGTTTTAGTGTCATTTGAACATCCAATTTCTGAAATCTGACAGCTCAGCATTTAGAGCCAGAGCATATTAGGTGGGGATAACAGGAAGATTTACTTAAAAAAAAACTCGCTGAACCCAAGCAGAAGCACTCATGCAGACATCCAGTGAAGAAAGATATATGTGAGTATGTTGCCCTTAAAACTTCATAAAGGTTACTTATATTCATGTGCTATTATTTAAGGCCAAAGGAGATCTCCTTTCTAGTAATTATCGTAAGGCTATTCAAAAGCAATTTTAGTAATGCTGGCTGGAGAGTTTCTCTGAGCTGGAACTTATGAGTCTTTACATAATAATAGGTTAACATATAAGTTAAATTGTAATTTGTAAGGTTAATTTGCAAGTGAAGAAGATCTCTCTGTTGCTCAAGTTTCTGCCTCATTTGTGTGTAAAGATCTCTGTTTGCCTGCTGATCTATTAAGGCAACAGCTACTTTCCAGTCAACTGTTCCAGGAACAGTACCTCTAGCTGTAGTATTTTTAAGAATATATTATATGAACAATATATCAGGCTGTCCATTGAGCAACCTGTCACACTGACCCACATAAAGAAAAGCTTTTAGGTGGACCCTGAGATATTGCCTGGTGCTGCTGAACCTTTGCTGTGTTCCCCAAATGCAAGCCACGCTTTCTTAGTGAAGCAAAACCTTCTCTGCTAGAAGCCCCACACCTAGGAAAAAAAGCAACCTTTGATTTCAGAGGTGATAACCAGTATACATTCATATACTAACTGAATAAAACTCATACCTTCCACTGATATCCATTATTAGTGCAGCAGGCTGTGATCTGGAAATGAAGTTAAATAGCTTGGAGGGTTCCCAAGTAGGCATGGGTCTAGTTACACAAGAGATAGCTTTGTGTTCAGTCTGAGCAATATTATCATGGCTTTCTAGCTGTTTTCCTCATGAATATGTATAGATGTGTGTGCATGTGTGTCTTTTAATTGAAGCATAAAGCTGCAGAGAGGATGCATTAACGCACCAGAGTTAACATAGTGTGGCCAGTGAGATATATTACTTAAGCTAAATGATACTAAAAGAAAATAGAAAAAAAAAAACTTAAAAAGTCACATATCCTCTGAAAGGAAGAAAAGAGCACTGATTGTCATCAGGTGTTCTTAAGGGAACATCCGGTGTTAAATCATGAGAGGTTGACTGGAGGCTTTCTGCTTATTGTCCTTCAAGTCCAGAAAATGGACCACCCCAAGTGCACGTACACAAATAAGGCACTACCAAGGGCACCGCATGATGGGGGAAGCTCTCACACATTTTCTGGAAAACACCATAACCGGGTGGCTCTCTGGAGTGCCTGCATGTTAAAGCATAGAGCATGGGGAAGAGACAGCAGGAATTACAAGTTTGCTTGTTATTACAAGGCTACAATCCCACTGGGATCATGAAGGTGTGGTGGGATAGCTCACCTGACTGCCATGGGTCTTTATGAAGGACAGGCTGGGAACATGGGAGCTGCCTGTTATGTGAGGGAGCAGTGGAGACAAAGAGCTGTCTGGGTTCAGAGGAGCAAGCTAACAGCTTATGGTCCAGAATTAGCAAAGATACCAACATGGGTGTCATTGAAGTGGCTGTTTGCTACGGACCACCTGATCAAGAAGATGAGACCTTCCACAGAAAGTGGCAGAAAGTTCAACTGGAGGTCAGGTACCAGTAGTATACCCAAGTATAAACCATGGGGTCAATACTGTTTGCCTTCAATACTGATCAGGACAATTGATGGGATAGAGTATATCCTCAGTAAACATAAAGATGGTACTCAGCTAGAAATGTACAATACATGAGATGGTTTTGATGTCATTTAGATGGACCTGGACAGGCTGGGGAAATGGGGAACCTCAGGAAGTTCAACAAAGGGAAAGGCAGAAGTCCTGAGTTAGGAGAGATGCAAGGACATCCTAAAATCAAAAAGTGTGTGTGTGTCTTTGTGTGTGTGTGTGTGTGTGTGTGTGTGTCTGACTCTGCTTTTAAATTCTAATACTCCTTTCTTGAGGAGGAAAAACATGAGAGACAGAAGTATTTTTAACATCAAGACAACATAGAAAATCTTAACATTTTTAATTTAGACATTTTATTTAAAATACATTTCTTTAAAATAAAAGTTCTGATATGATGAAATATTTTAAAATAAAGTATTTTTAATTAAGACATTTCAGCAGTCTCTATTACAGAGAACACTCCATCCTTTCTGAAATGATACACACAACAAAAGATGCTATTAGATGACCTTAAATATAATTTTGTATTTTATTCCGAGTCAGATTTTGAGGGCTTTGAGTTTTATCATGTTTATATAAAGCTAAAAGAGATTGTTTACTGTTGGTCAAAATACATACTTAACTATTCTGTGAAAAACACATATCTTATTCCACCTAAAACATTCAAACATCAATAATTTAAAAATTATTTAGACTTTATAAGGTATTTTTGGAAATTAATTTCCTGAATCTAAAAGGAGAAGCTTAAAGACACTCAGAAGATAGATAAAAACTTGTGTGTAGACATTATAAGAGGCAGTAGTGTCAAACAGCAAACTCAGAGCTAGGAAGGAAGGGATACCTCATTTTGCACAGCATAGCTCATGAGTCCTCAGGGAAGGAACTGGAAAGTAACCAAAGAACAAATAAACAGTAAATTACTCACAACTTAGCAAAACTTTGAGCATTTTGAAAACATTTTTCATAGTTATGGTTTATGACTATTTTTGGATTCTTATAATTCCTCGGGATATAAAAGGATCTACAGGAATGAGTTTCTACTACATGTTGCCACATTTTTTACACAGTAATTTTGTATTATTATTCTATAATTTATCTGGATCAGGGATAGAATTGACCAGATTGTGGAGGAAAATGACAAGAGAAACTTTTGTGATCCTGAGTATCCTCTAAATGCATGCCCCTTCTCTGTTTGTCACTTTAAAACATCTCTCTGCAAACATTGGCAATGTTTTTATGGCTGTGGTTTGAGCCTGGTTTTAATCTCATGCTTATTTTTTTCATAGCTGAATCATCTGTCTGTACCAGATCACAGAGAGGTTAAAAAACAAGCAAACACATTTATAGTTATTGGATTGAATAGTGCACATCTCTGTAGCAGAGATTAACTCTTATCTGCTAATAAGCACATTAAACATGTTCTAAAAGTCTAAAGGAAAGAGCTTTATCACAAAATGACCAAGTAACCACCACATCCCTTTCTGGGGGACCTCTGCACTGGAGTAATTCCAGAGCTCATAAAATCATAGACTCATAGAATGGTTTGGATTGGAAGGGACCATTAAAGGTCATCTAGTACAACCCCGAAGCTCCATTTGACCTTGCTATTACCATGCTCCATTTTAAATTACTATGCATTTAAAAAGTATACTTTCTGTAGAAATATACACATGCACACTGTTTACTATCAAAACTTACATTTCCATGGATTTTTAGTGTCAAAACTTTACATTGTCCTGGAATTCCTTAATATCACAACAATATTAAATAGTTAAAAAGAAAATTTTGAAACCAGAATATGGTGAAAATTAGTTAAATTGATTTAGCATAGTAACAGTCCATAAGCTTTCTGTTTGTATCTAAATATAGATATTTGAGTTCAGTGACTGTCAGGGCATATAGAGTTAACTGAGACCATTCTTGTTTTCCTAATTTAACATGACTGATTAGTCACCATTAATTGTTCTGTGTTAGAAATCTTTGTTTCATTGATTAGGTGACTCAATGTTATCCAATCATATAATGACATCTTCAGAAAAAGGCTAGAAGGCTGCAATACTAATTAATATGAAATATTATCCAATGTTCAGTTCTACAGGCTAGTACTTCACTGAAATATAATTGCATGTCCGCAGATACTGGATAGGACATAAAAGATTATTATTTTTACTTTTAACATACACAGCAGCTCATACATTTCGGTAGAAACTCTTATCTTTTTTGTTTGTTGTTGTTGGCATAGTGGCTTCTTCTTTACATGAAATAAAGCTTAAATTTTAGTGTTAAAGAAGCCTGAGATCTTAAACTCCTAGAGTTTTGGTGTTAGTGTAGAGCATGGAGGAACAACAGCTATGCCACTAATTAAAGGCATATTGATTTGTTTGGCCTAATCTAATCATAGTCTTTATAATAAATCATAAGGTGTTTTGCAATTAGGAAATCCATACTAAATACCGAAAGGACTGTTATCTTTGTAACCTTATTAACTATGGCTTAATGCAAAAGTATTGTTCATACAGATGTATTTTATGACTTCTCATTCGTGCCTCATTCAGTATTTTAGTGGGATATATTACTCTGTCAAAAGTCACTTAGAACGTGTATACATAATATAACAGTAATGTGTTTGTTCCCTCAGGAGTTTTCAAAATCATATTTCTATTTACATGTTTTCCTCAATTGCCCACTGCCACACGCATTGCTTAAAATCATAGCTACTAGAACTAACATCTAATTAGATATCTATCATAAACTCAAATTTATAGTCCACATATAAATGTATGGAATGCCTGTGTTTGCATGTGGGAGACACTTTAAAAAAAAACTGTCTTGTATATGTACGTCCCTCCATATACATGTATTTGTCACCATTGCTGGGCTTGGACAATGTGAAGCTACATCATTGCTGCTGGTATCTAATAGGTAAACTGGTGTTACTGAAAAAAAAACGTGTTTGTTCTCTACCAGTGATACCTTTACCTTTCCTAAATGACTGTTTACATTGGATAATTGTATATGGAGAGTAATGATCAATATAGGTTTTTCAGGTGCATCTATCAGAAACTTCTGTGATATAAGAATAGAACAAGTTGTAATACTAGAAGTTCAATGAGTTCAGTATTTCTCTGCTGCTGCTTCTTAACTCCCATTTTGAATATGGGTTTTAATACCTGCCTACATTGCAAACAAGAGCAAAAATCACTGATTTCCCCCAAATAATATTAAACCATAGAATAGAAACACATTTAGCCCATATTCTATTTGATAATAGGGAGGAGCACAATACTGGAAGCATACAGACTGTTTTTATTGGTCTTCTGCACTCTCGAACAAGATACGCATTTTGATCATATAGGCTCCTCTTTGTTTCCCTAAAGGGAGCTTTCTGAAGGAAGTGTATCTAATATGCTTCTTCCAGTGAAGAGGTACACTATTTTTTGGTCTTGTTTTAAGAAAATACCTTCTTACGGTGGAGCTCTTTAATGTCTCTTGAAGAGTGCATCAAATAGGGATTTCTATCTTCATGGAAAACATCTATATGCACTAAACTGCATAGTTCAGAAGAGAGAAGGTAATGACTTAATAAGAGCTGTTAATTCAAATAAGGGGATTAAAAGCCAATTTAGGAGCAATTCATTAAATCAGGATTTATGTTATAGAGTAAAAATTAATTGTGGTATTGAAAAAGAATACCTGAAATTAACGTTAGGAAAGAGACCATATCCTAATTTGAATTAGTGGTTCTTAAAAAATATAGAAGAAAGATTAAATGGTTCCAGTTAAGCTTTCAGATTCACTAGTTTAATATACCTGTAGGCAAAACTTGTTGCTAAGGTAGCCTAATTCTCATTTTCACTTTGTTACTCCAGCAGTATAAAAATGGTCCGATCATGGGTGAAAAAATCAATTTGCTGGAGCAATATGTAAATTAGAGACAGGATTAAACTTTCTGTAATATTATTGTATTGAGATTCTGATACGCTCTACATCAGCAAGTAAAGACAAAATTAAAACTGAAGCAGTGTTAATACACTCAGTAACACCATCAGTTCATTCCATTGTGCCTTAGTGCTATAACTTAGATGTATAAAGAGTAGTCTGAGTCCCTTGACAGTAGATAATATCACCATTAATACATATGGTAAAGCTGAAATTGTGCTCACTCTTTACCTCTGAATATTTTGCTCCGGTAGATTAAGTCTTACCCTTAGTGTTATTGTAATACTTTTTTTTTTGTTGTTGATTGTTACATACTCTGGGGTATACTATCCCTTCAAAAGGAGCACATAACTTCCATTAATGGTAGTGGCAGCCATGTGTGCATATCAAGAGGGGAATGCTCCCTTCTAGAAATTGTATAGGAAGTCCCCAAAGGAATAATATTTTCTACAACTGCAAGTCTAAAAAGTTAGTGTGTACAGTAATTAAGAAAGCACAACAGGCAAATTCAAATTTCAGGAGTCTGGGTTTTATTGTTACAGATGTTCTTCAGAGGAAAGTCTGTTCAGCAGTTCCTCGAGTCATAAATGTTTAATTTTTAATCTATTTTTTACCGGTTTTGTGTAATGCAAGCTCCTTGTACGCCAAAAGAATTTTGCAAGTGTTTTTTATTTCTTGAAAGTTTAAAGTCATGGTGGTTGTTTAAGATTTCTCTTTTAAAAAATAATTTGCCCAATAAAAGAGCAATGTTATTTTTAACTCTAAACATAGATTTATTTGCTTTTGATTATTCTCTGAATTTGGCAGCAAACAATATCATGGTTCATTTGTTGTTGTTGCTGTTGTGTTCTTGTGTTTTGTGTTGTTTATTGTTGCTGTTGTTGTTGTTGTTCTTTGTTTTTATGTGAGTTCTGGGACTTGACTCCCTTAAAAAATACCTGTGTGACCTTAAAAACCTGTCCAATTTGGAAATGATCCCAGGCTACTAAGTCTCATTGTGAAACTGGGCTGCAGAAGCCTTAAAAATGTCTTAGGGCTGTCAAAAGAAGATGAGGGTACACAGCACCCAGAAGGATCAGATCTGGTGAAGGATCAGATCAGGCACCTCATATATACACTCCTCATTTATATTGCTATTTACAGATGGTAGACTATTTGCACAGATTGAATTTTCTCCTGTGAAAACCATACAAGCTACTGTGCCAGTGTATTGTTGGATTCACTTTGGGTTACGTCATTTATTTGCATTGAAACTATCTGTTTAGTAGACTCAGGAACTAAAAACAATAGCTGTTTCAGGAGATATTTATCTTTTGTGAGTCAAACAGCTGTCTTGTCTTCTCATACTTGCACGACCATGTGATGTAGGTTGTTAGCTAACAGGAGCTGATAAAAGGTAAGCTGTTTTTTGAAAGACTGGAAATATAATAGCATAATGATTGGGGGGAAAAACTCCTGGTGATTTAAACTTATTTACATTTTATCTTCTGCCATCTGCTGTAAACCAGAAATAAACTCATCCACACAGTGATGTGTGTTCCAGTCACTCAGCCTACCAGACAGGAAATTACTGTTTTTGACTTTACAGAGTTAAATATTCCTCTGGCCACTGCTTGACCCAGTATAGCTCTCTTTATGCTAAGTTTAAAAATATATATATATATCTTCCTTTTAATCTATAGAGAAAGGTCATCTATTATATTTTGTGCAATACAATTAGCCCCTAGTAAACAGTGCAATACAAATAATAACCTACAATTAACTAATTATTCTTTGTTGGTTTAGATGGAATGTTTTCTTGGGGCAGGGACACATGTATTTACTTATTTCTCAAAGGTGCTATAGAAAACAATAATAGAGTCCTGAGGAAGCAGTTTAGTATTTCAAAAATGCATGAGTACCTAGTTCATTCCATGAGATTTAGATAACTAATTCTGGATCCAAAATGGATGGGTCTGGATCCAAATTCCATGGGTCTTTCTGTGCCCAAATACCTTTACACATCTGTGTCTATATCCCACTGTCTTTTAGCTCAACATCAGGGCGTATAGTTAATACAGAAACCTGTTTTTTAGATTTATTCTTTTGCAGTGAAGGTGGAGGATAATCAGGCTGGGGCAGAGTGCACCTGAGATGAGAGGACCACATACCTGGGTGCAGGGAGGTGTGATGCAGAGTCAATGGCAGCACCATGCACAACTTGGTGTGGGGACTCCCCATGCCTGGACAGGATGCAGCCATACTCCACACCACCTGCTGCAACAGCTCTTACAACATCAGGACATGGATTGAACATAATTGCCCTAGACTTGTTCACAGGCAAGAGTGCCTTAGAGAAAATACTGAGGCTTATCTGTGGGCTAATTGTGTGTGAGTGCTCAGGGCTAAAAAACAGCATTCTTGGCTATGGAGTGTGGCCAGCTGCTAAGGGCCATCCTCTCTTGCCTCATCATACCTGCTGATGTGTACCTGGGAATTAGCCCGACAGAGGCTGAGCAGGTTCTCCACAAGGCCAGGGTGGATAGGGAAGAGAGGGTTCCCATAGAGAGCACACGTGTTGGGGCAGAAACAGGAAGGAGGACTGGGAGACCCTGCCTGGTGGCACCTCTTGTGCTGTGAGATTAAGTTCTGGTGTTTACAGCTTGTCCCTCCAGATCACTTGGTGATTGCCATGTTGTGATGGAGAGTATGCCATTGAACAAAGAGAGAGCAAAAGTGTACCCCTCTCCTGCGTGAAATGGATTCCAGCTTCAGCGCTACACCTAGTGCTTTCAATCAAATATATTATTGGAAACTGAGCTGTAATAACATTTTAATATTCTCCAGTTATTAAAGTTAAACAGAGAGGAATAATCCTCCTTGGTAATCCAAAGCATTCAAAAATGAGAACCCCAGTATCAGAGGATTGGCATAAAAATTAAACTATTTATACATGATAAGTTTTCAACTTCTTTGCATTCTGATTCTTACTTGCTTTTTCACCACTTCCAGATTTCACCAACTGCCATTAAGGTCAAAAACTCCTATAAAAAGGAGAAAAAAAAAAAAAAAGGTTGATGGGTTGATGAGTTAAAAGCCAAAATACCATGAGACTTTTTGGTTAAAACACAAGGGATAGCAGAAGTGTCACACATAGTTCCCTTGGAAAAGGGTAACCTCTCCACATGGCTGCATCAGCTCATGCAGCTAGGGTCAGGGACATCACTCACTCACAAAGACAGCCCATTTGCTGACAAAGGCTTCATTGTCTTGCTGGTGTGCCTGATTTTAGAAATCTTGACAGAATAGGAATGTTTTGTTTCATTTTTTCCCCTTCATGGAAAATGCTTTCTGTGGGTTTTTGTTTTGTTGTTGTTTAAATAAAAGCCTAAATATTTGATAGTCAGAATTGTCTGAAAACTGAATCTTCTTCCCTTTAAAGAGACCCATGAGCCTTTGTGAAACATGAAATTAAGATAAGTAATGATCCATTTTGTTCCATAACCTGAGTTTGTAATTTATAATCACTCCTATTCCAGATCCTTAAGTGTTTAAGGGAAAAATGCAAGAAACATGTAATGCAGATATACTACAAGGCAGAATCTGTCACTGCAGGGAATACAAGAAACATAAAGCACAATCTGAAACCTCTGAGGACATGCTTTTTCCTCTAAATCTTGGATTCTTAACTGCTTCTAAAGTAAAAATGAAAGCACTTGGGGTTGTGGTTATGGAACATTTCCCACTAAATTTCAGACATTTTTCCCTAAAAGAGTAAAAACTCCTCCCCTCACACACATGCACATACACACAGATACAGTGGTGAATTTCTCTACAGTTTATCTGCTTGCTCCTTTGATGTTCTTTAAGGATCTGTCTCCATCCATCCTGCTTTTATCCCCACATTTTTTATGTAAATCTTATTCCAAATTCTCCTTTCTGTTCAATTCTACTTGTATTCTACATCACATTTAAGCTCCTCACCTTATAATTACCCACTGTAGTTTAATTCCTGCCTCTTTATTTCAGTTCAACAGCCAAGCAAATGTCCATCCAGTTGTGTCTATGCTTACTACATACACAGTCTGTGCTTTCACCCCAAGTTTTGCAGTTCTCATTGGATGGTAGAATTTGTCCTAAAATATATGGAAACATACTTAAATCACTAAACCCTTTAGTATCAAGTTTCCTAATTAACTGTGAAGAATTTTTCCCTATATTTTTTCCCTAGACAAAAGCTCCAACACAGATAATAGATCTTCTAGTAAAACCTTTATACCTTTTATACAGTTGAATGTACACAGCTGGACTCAGTGCACTCCTTTGACTGATGGTGGTGGAAATATTGACTCTGGTAGTGAAAGATGAAAATACAATATACAATAACACAATACATCCTCTCCTTTTAAAAGTGATTTTCAAGGTTAGATATTTAGTAACTGCTATAAGAGCTGTTCATAGATCAATTTTTTTTTTGTTCCATGTCCTTCAGAAAATGACCTTGCTGCTAAGAATGAATAAGGCAGCACATATGTTCCTTTAGACATGCTGAAATAAAAGGAATATCCTCACACATAATGCTCTTTCTTCATGAATATTTCTATATAGCACTATAGCTCACACCTGTAAATCACAAGTTTATTACCCATCTGGATCACATCCTGCACCCACTGAAAATAAGAACAAGTTTTCACTTCAACAGAATTTTCATCTGATGACCTTAGGCCCAGGTTGTAAATGGTAATTGAGTGCATAAAAATGGATACTGTGAGTTAGACACGTAGTCCCCACAAATCCCACTTGCCTGGAAAATTTCTCAGTGTCTTCTGTAGGCATGTATATCAGCTCATGGCTCGTTTCCAGACCAGAAAAAAATGTTAGAGGAAAAAACATTTTTTGTGTGGATGAGCTTGCATTTCTTTAAAATAAATGAGTAAATAATTAATTATGACAGCTTACATGACCTTTTTCCTGACTGAACAGCATTTCCTGTATAAAACAGTATTTTCTGGTGAATCTTCACTGCGACTTAAGAATCAAAAAAAAAAAAAAATTTTGGTATTTATCTGTATTGGGCCCTGAAGCCACATCATATTTACACATGAGTCTTTTGAATAGGGTTTCCAGATTCATGTGGATGTTTTCAAATGTAGCTTTCTCACCAGTGTTGTGTATTGCTTGCTTCAAATTTTTTGTTTGTTTGTTTGTTTTTGTACATATCCATGCCATAAAGTTGTGACAAGGAATTAACTGAAGCCCTCCATGCCTCAAATTCTCCATAGTGGCCTGCTTATCTTCTGTGCCAACTGTCCCTGAGGAGGGCAGAACCTTATTTCTTTTCCTGGCCTTCCAGGTCTTCCAAACTGGGACCAAAAGCTCTGCTACTGGTTGGTATCCCCATCTCTGCTGGACAAGAGGTTCACTTCATAAACTGTTCAGCAGTCATAAACTGGTTGAAATACTTTTATTGGCTCAGCCTGCACTCTTTGGAAAGAGTACAGGTGTCTGGAAACACCTCCACAGGGCAGCTCCTATCCCATAGTAGCATGAATTGCTGAAGTGAAATACCTGAAATTCTGATAAGATGTATTCAGGCTGATCATGTTAATATTCATCATGTTAAAATTTGTGTCATGTTCAGTCACTCATTACTTCAGTCACCTCTGTCTTGTACTGCTGTGTTTCTTAATGGACTAAGGTTTAGAAACAGGATGATCAGGATGATGGATGATTGTGGATACATTCATTGCACCATCAGAACTGGTAAAATAAAAAATAAAAAATTAAACACCAAGTAGGTTAAGGAAATAAAAGGACATGAAATAAAGCATGAAGGTACAAGGTACCTGAAATTACAAAATTGAGATTCTTCACTTGGGATGTGATTCATCTAAGCTAACCTCAGGCATCTTGTTCAACATTTTCATCGACGACCTTGATGAGGGAATAGGGTCTGCCCTCAACAAGTACGCCGATGACACAAAGCTGGGAGGAATGGCTGACATACCAGAAGGCTGTGCTGCCATTCAGTGAGACCTGGACCAGCTGAAGAGATGGTCAGGAAGAAAACAAATGAGATTTAATAAGAGCAAATGCTCTCTAAAGGACTCTCTAAAAAGAGTCCTGCACCTGGGAAGGAACAACCTGAAGTATCAGTACAGGCTGGGGGACAACCTGCTGGAGAGGAGCTCTGACGAAAAGGACCTGGGGGTCATGTTGGACAACAGGTTGACCATGAGCCAGCACTGTGCCCTTGTGGCCAAGAGGGCTAATGGGATCCTGGCATGCATTAAAAGGAGCGTGGCCAGCAGGTCAAGGGAGGTGATTCTCCCCCTCTAGTCTGCTCTGGTCAGACCTCACCTGGAGTACTGTGTCCAGTTCTGGGCTCCCCGGTACAAGAAAGACAGGGATCTCCTGGAAAGAGTCCAGCAGAGGGCCACAAAGATGATACGGGGCCTGGAGCATCTTCCCTATGAAGAAAGGCTGAGAGACCTGGGTCTGTTCAGCCTGGAGAAGACTAAAAGGGGATCTCCTCAGTGTATATAAATATCTGAGGGGTGGGGGACAGAAGGATGTAGCCGACCTCTTCTCAGTGGTTTGTGGGGATAGGACAAGGGGCAATGGCTGCAAGTTAGAGCACAGGAAGTTCCGCACTGACATGCAAAAGAACTTCTTCACAGTGAGTGTGAAACAGGCTGCCTAGGGAGGTTGTGGAGTCTCCTTCACTGGAGATATTCAAGGCCTGTCTGGATGCCTACCTGGGCAGCCTGCTCTGAGGATCCTGCTTTGGCAGGGGGGTTGGACCCGATGATCTTTTGAGGTCCCTTCCAACCCCTACAGTTCTGTGATTCTGTGATTCTGTGATCCACATTTTGCCAGTCTTATTGGGATCTTTCTTATCATAGTTGCTGAGTGAAAAGCATTTTAGGGTATGAGTCATCTGACTTAATGCAGACATCTAACTAACTTTATTATGCCGTAAAAATACCTGTTGCAAAGAAGGAAACAAATGTAACTAGCTCAAACATCGATGTCTCCACTATGGAAGTGTATGTATAGTCAGATGAATCCTCTCCACAGCATGAAAAACACCTGCACAGCATAGAATCAGAACTTGAACCCTTTCTTGTGTGAAAAGGATATGTACATCGTAGAATAGAGATGACTTCGGATATAACAGCTTTATTTTTTGTAACTAAACCAACCAACAAACAGATATTTAAGAAAAGCATGTTTATTTGTCAAAAGCTATAAAAGAAATGTTCTGTTTTCATATAAAAATCTTTATTCTCTAGACTGAGGTTATTCTTCTAAGTATACTCTTCTAAAATAAAGAATATTTTTTGTTTTGTTTTGTTTTGTTTTTCACTGTGCTAGTTCCATATTTTTTTTCAGGGACATATTATTATGACATTTTTCAGATGTCAGTAGTGGTTTCAGGTATTTTCAGAATTACGTACCAAATCTCTCACGTTAATCAAGGTCTGTGCCTTCATTCCTTCAGTTGATTTAAGAAGCTTGGCAGTTAGTCTTACAAAGGACAGAATGTCAGAAATGCTGAGCACTGCAATGATTAAAAAGAGTGGTAGCAATTCTTAGGACATCAAATAATAAAACCAGAACATTATGTGGCCAATAATACTACAGCTATTTTCCAAAAGCAGGTATGTTCAAATCTCTGTTGTTTTCTCTTTACTTTTGCTTTCTTAAAAAAATATTAAATATTAGTATGTTTTTGGTTTTTTTTGACTGATATGAAGATATGCCTTTTGCCCACTGCACAGAAATACCTCATCTATGTATAATTCATTTTAAGTAGACTCTTTATCCTGCCCTCACCCTTTCTTACAATATTTTAATAAAATATTTTACACATAACAAGAGTTAAGATAGAAAAAATGCCCTCAAAATATTGGTTTATTATCACAAACATATTTTATATACATATACACGTTCTGCTGTTTTATATTTTTACATTGAAATATTATTAAATATTTTGTAATCGTAAGCAGAGAGGTGATGATGTCTTTCCTTCATGTATCCC